ATGTAAATGTAATTTTCGTATTAAAATAAACATAGCTTACTAAATCACTAGCTAGCCATTTTTAAATACAGGGTGTTAATTAAGTATCTGGCCAAACTTCAGGAGGTGATTTTTTAGTGTTTTTAAGGTAAAAAGTTAATATAAACGTGTGTCCGGAAATGTATAATTTTAAAGATACAGGGGTGTGAATGTGTTTTCTAATAGACCTTTTTTATTAATATCTCCAAGATCCGTTGGCCGATTTTGTTGAAATTTCGCCGTGTTGTGAACTTTGATAAGTTAGCACTAATTAAATGATAATTATTTACAACAATATTCAAACGATAAAATCTTATCCCAATAAAAAATATTTGGCACCGCCTTGGATTCATTTGTTTTTACACCTGTTGGCGGTGGAAACCATGGAAGCTTTTTCTTTGTCCTAAGTTGTTAATTAAAAAAATAATAATCATATAAAAAAAATATAGGTCCTAATAGCCTAAATTTTATCCTTGTTTATAATATATACAAGGATTTTATCAAAATGTATTAGCAGATCCGATGAGACCCGAGTTATTATATGTTTTGGAACTTAACGATTTAATTAATTATTCCTTTTAATGCATCGATTGTGCGCATTATCCTACGCGCCAAGAAAAAATATTGCATTAGTCTAAATTTATTATTTATGTTATTCCGCTCTTTCACGTATAGCTTGCCCACTGCTTCTCATACGGAAAGAGTTAGATTAAAATAGCCCAATTAATTAATTAACAACCCATGCCTTGACGCATATTCATTTCTTCGATAATAATATCGGCTTTCCCAGACTAAACATCCATATCCATAAAATAGTTGGCCCACACACACTAATAAGACCTCATTTCGGCCTTTGGACGTCCTTGCCCTATTCAGCTATTGACTTACGTGTTGACAAGTTGATTAGGCAGGTTATTGAACTCATATCGCCTCTAGCTTGTTGTTTTTTCAAAGATGGGTCCCATATAAACGCGGCCAGAAGTATTTTCAATACTAAAACTCAGATATAGTCTCGTTCGATCAAGACATGTTGTCTGGAAATATGCATAATATCAATTATTATTCTTCGAATCTCCGATTTTCTATAGATATGATTTCTAGGTTACATAATCATCACATACCTACTGTGTTCAAAGTAAACAATGTTTTGTCGTATCGGCTATTAATGTGTTTATGTATATGGCCGTCATCCGGACGGAGCATACATGATCTATGTGAAATTGTTCTCTGTGATCTATGTGAATGGTACTTGTTCGAAGTCGCGGACGGCCCGCCCGCGCCCCGCCCGTCGCGGACGCTCCGCTCTCCGCTCCATCTGAAAGTGCTGTAAATCAGTTCATTTGTGATTGAACTAATCGCTGAGGGGTAACTAACTGAGGGGTAAATTGTTATAATATATTGTTATAATCATCGGCAACAATCTCTCAAATTGCCGCCAATAAATTAGTATAGCTAAACTAATTTTAAATAGCATAATTGCACATAAAACTTTATGAATTAACATTTCTATAGCTCCTGTAAAATTTAAAAGTATAAATTAAATATTATTAAAATACAATTATTATACACACATAAATCACCTCATCAAAATGTATCTAGTGCTCCTTACCCTCCTAGTAATAGTCATCATTTTTGACATGTTCTACACCCTTCGGGGTATTTGTATGTAACTTATATTATTATACTTAGAACTAATAAACTATATCTTTTTTTTAATTAAATTTTCTTTGACCAATGTAATATTTTTTTTTACTTAAAGGGTTCTTGGCTTTTTGTAAATATTAAGCTTTTTCTGGGTTTAGGAAGTGTTTATTACATAACTAACGTTTCGGTTCAGTTTTAACCTTTTTCAAAGTCTACAATAAGATATTATCAATAAAATACGACAGTGCAAAAAATATAAATCAAACTTAATTTAGAATAAACAATAATTTTAAACAATAACATGGTATAGAGATGTTTTTAATAACATGGTAGATTATATTGGGATACCCTTATTTATCAGTAATTTTTATACCTAATTAATATGATATTTAGATATTTTTTTAAGCTAATATCAAATTATGTATTTTTGCATTAAATGAAGTTATGACGCGCCGACCGACGATCCTCGCGCCGACCCATTCACACGGCGTGTGGCGCGTATTTTTTGTTTCAGGCTCGGCGATCCACGCGCCGTGTAACGGCACCTTTAGACAAGTTTCTGCTGGTATCACCGAAAAATTGAACGCAAGAACCACTGAAAATGTTTTAAGTGTAGTTTCTAATAGTCTAAGAGTTGGCTACATAAAAAACCTTATTATCGTTACATGGATAATTTTTTGATGGCTAATGAAATAGTCATGTCTGCCAGCGCGATCCTGGTGCTTAAGGCGGGGGCGGCCCGTCGAAAGAGTGAAATTTTGACACTAAAAATGTTATAAAGTACACGAGTTATAATTGCGAAAATAGCTTTTATTTATTATTGAAACGTGGAAAATTGTTGATAGACATTTTTCTGGTCGCTAAAATACCGACAGTCAACGCGAAAGAGGCATGAAATTTTAAAAATTATCTCGAAAATTATTAAAAAATGAAATTTGACGAATGAAAAAAAAATACGGCATACATGCAAGCCGATTGGTGGAATGTCATATATATTTATTTTAAAAGCGGTATGCAAAAGGGCAGACAAAAATATAGTGGCTAAATCAGCTGCAAACAGTTTTATCAAAAGCGCGATATTACTCTAGCACGTTCAGGAAACGCTCGCCGCCTCATCCATTTAAGTATAGATAAGTTATGTATACGATTATATTATATATATTTTTTTATTATTTCAAAAGGAAATATCATACATTTACTATTCTCTGTCTCGCTATTTGTATCTGACTCATCGTACTGCAGATCCCCGCTCTCACAAACGAGTCTTTCTCTGACTCGATATCTGCACCGTAAAATTTTTGTAGACTTACAGGTATTCAATTATACAGGTATGTTTCAATTGATAACGCGGCCAGTGTTTCCTGAAAACGTTTATACAGGGTAAGTCTTAAATAAGTGAAAATACTTTTAAGGGTGATATATTTCGACCCCAGGAACACGTCTATTTTTTTTTTGGCGCAAAAAAATGTAGAAAATCGTGCATTATTTTTAAATTTTCCTGTATATTTTAGAAAACTTTTTAGAACTGCCTGTTCACCGTAAAGTTACCAACGGTATAATTATTTCTTAACCTATCATGATTACGGCTTTACACTATGGCTACGACACTAAAATAATGGATGCAAGTACAGAAAAAAAACAGGTGTCTCCCAAAATTATTTAAAAATAAATCACTTTCTTTTTAAATTTTCAAACTTGAATAACTCCGTTATTTTGGACTTATTTGAAAAACGGTAAAAAGAAAATATGTTTCTTTTATCGAGATATACCAGCTCTGAAACTATTTGCACTTATTCAAGATGTAGAGAAATATCTGTAGTATCCCTGTAGGGTAATATCGCGTTTTTTATAACTGTTCCGCTGATTGAGCCACAACTCTTTTGTCTGTTCTTTTGTATACGGCTTTTTAAATAAATAAACATGACATTCCACTAATCGACATGCATGTATGCGATGATTTTTTTTTGTCAAATTTCATGCCTCTTTCGGGTTGTCTGCCGGCATTTTAGCCACGAAAAAAATGTCTGTCAACAGTTTTTACACGTTCTTTAATAATAAATTAAAGCTATTTTCGCAATTATAACACGTGTACCTTATAATATTTTTAGTGTAAAAAGTTTACCCTTTCGATTGGCCGCCCCCACTTTAAGCACCAGGATTCACTCTTTTTATATTGACAAATCAATATTAAATTAGCTTCAAAAGCAGATTAAAATAATTTTAAGCAACTATAGAATAAAACTTTAAATAAAGTTAAAGGATCAAAATGAATGAATTTTGCATGGTGTATAAAATAATTCAATACGAATATATTTTTAAATCACTTCGATTAAAAGGAAAAATAAAATGTTTTAAGATCTTTAGCGTATCGACTTTACGTAACAAAAGCAAATTTCTAGAAATTAAAATTATAAGCGTAATTGGCAATTGCGAAAAATATATCTTTTTAATTACGAATTTTATAAAATCATCAAATTAGCACTAAGGCGGTCATCCCACCAACAGGTCGATAATGCTGGTTTGATGATTCGACACATTGAACTAATAAATGAGGAAATATCATTGGTTGGAGTCAATAGTTATTAGTTCGAAATACCTGGTAACACTACCCCCAAGCCAGTGACGATGTATCTCACTGTGTAAGTAATATTTATCTTTATAATTAATTTTAATCCTGTATTAATGGAAATAAATGTTAAATCAAATCTCAACTTCTAACCGGAAATATTTAGTATTATAGTTATTATTTTATTTACTATATGCGCTGGGCAAGGGCGAGGGAACCATTAAGGTTTATATCCAGCAAAAAACGTGGTATTCTATTAAAATATAGGTAGGTTTTTACTGCCGTATGAATATTCGCAGTTTGATGGCCGATCAAATAGCCACGAGGGTGTTAGTGAATAATATATAAATATATTAGTGAGCTGGGGGTACCTCGGTATTAGGTGAGCTTTTCTGTTTGCTAATCGCAAATTACCTGTTCATAATTGAGGGATTTTTTGCATTAGATCGAGCCTGAAGCTCTAGACTGAATAAAGCTGAGTCTGATCATCTACACATTATTTTCCATCTCTAATAAACCCCCACAATCCATCCTATTACATCTTGGCGCCTAACGTGGGGCAGAGATTTACTTTAAAACTTAAGAAATGTTCGTTTTTCAGACAAGAAATGACATTTTTTGGTTACATATTAACGTCAGAAGGTTATCGGCCAGCGATCCACGACGAATACAAGCGTTAAATGATTTTAAGGTGCCTACAAATAAAAAAGAGATACAAAGTTTTTTAGGGTTAGCAAATTTTGATAGAGCTTTTTGCGAATAATTTTCGAGTATGGCCGCTCCACTATCAGCGTTGCTAAAAAACAATGTAAAATGGAAATGGAGCGAAGTTCAACAAAGAGCTTTCGAGAATATTAAAAGTAAAATCAGTGGAGCAACACTTTTGTATCATCCTCGTGAAGACGTACCGTTTTGTTAGTATATTGATGCTTGTGATACGGGATTGGGTGCGCAATTATTTCAGATAGTGGATGGTAAACACCACGCTATTGCTTGGGCATTGGTTGACCGAGAAACCAGGTATTATATAAATGAGAAAGAAGCGCTGTGTTTAGTTCGGGCAACGACTATTTTTAAAAGTTATTTACTCGGTCGAAAATTTGTAGTTTATACGGATAATGCTACGATTACATATTTGAGAACCTGTCGATTATTGTCGCCTAGAATTGCTCGATATGCGTTGGTTCTTCAAGAGTTTGAGTTAGATCTGGTGCATATTCCCGGTCAACAAAACTTAGTTGCAGATGCATTGTCTCGATTATCCGCCATTAGACCACCTACGCTAGAAGATAAGCATTTTAGGATACTGGCTGTAAACAGATTTTCCAAGGAATTTCATTATATTTAGAAATAGAAATATTGAACGTTTTCAGAGGGAGGATAAGAAACTTTGCGATATAATGGAAAAATTGCCGCAAAATCAGGAGCTACAAAAGAAATTTGTTGAAAGAAACGGAATTTTGTATATACACCAACAGAACGACGAATTTTATCTTTTATGTGTGCCTAAAGAGTTGGTGGAGAGGTTTACAATGGAGTATCACCATGCGCTGGGACATTTAGGCGCGTATAAAATTTGGTGCGCTTTGCGTAATGACGTGTGGTGGACAAATATGTATAAAGTGGTTAAGCGAGTAATAAAGTCGCGCGAATTATGTCAGAAAACTAAAGCGAGTAAACTACCAATTCTGAGTTTACAGTCCGTGGTTTCGACGGAAAAAAAATGATCTGATTGCCGTGGATTTTTTCGGGCCACTACCGCCCAGTAGGGGAGGCGTGAGATATATTTTGGTGGTACTAGACATATTTACTAAATACGTAACCTTTTATGCCATGAAACGCGCCACCACGACAGTAGCTTTGAATCGAATAACAAAAATTTATTTGGAAAAAATGGGAAATGTGAAAAGCATTCTCAGCGTTCAAGGAAATCAATTTCTGTCTGCCCGATGGAAAAGTACCTTAGAAAGCTTGGGTATTGAGGTAGTATATACGTCAGTGCGACATCCGCAAGCAAATCCGTCGGAACGGGTTATGCGTGAGCTAGGTCGTTTAAGCCGTGCTTTCTGTCAAGATCAGCATACTAGATGGGCGTACGAGCTTCCAAAATTTGCTGATTTTATGAATACTGTGGTTCATGATTCAACGGGTTACGCTCCTAAGGAGTTGCAGTTTGGAACTGACAGGGAAAGGTTATTGCCTAATTCTTTCCAGGGCCAACTTTCCGGACCCGCTGCTACCTATGAACAGAAGTTGATTTTGGCACGGGAAACTTTCTTGACAAAGGCTGTTCGCCGAAGAGCACAACAGACCAATTTCCGAAATGTTAAGTTTAAGACAGAAGATTTAGTTTTGCTTAGGGCCTTCATCAGCTATTAAAGCTGAAACTAAAAAGTTTTTGTTTTTGTTTGAAGGGCCGTATAGGATTAAAAAATCGGTTAGTACGGATACTTATATCTTAGTGAATGATAAAACGAGTAAGGAACGGGATATGTTCCATGCATCGCATTTAAAATTATACAATCAACCAGTGTTATTGAATAAGCCCGATCTAAAGGTTTAGACTTTAGACCGTTGTTGTTATTATTTTATTTACTATTGTTAAATACGGTGAATGCGGGGCAAGTGCGAGGGAACCATTAAGGTTTATACCCCGCAAAAAATGTGGTATTCTATTAAAAGATAGGTAGGTTTTTACTGCCGTATGAATATTCGCAGTTTGATGGCCGATCAAATAGCCACGAGGGTGTTAGTGAATAATATAATAAATATATTAATGAGCTGGGTATCCCGGTATTAGGTGAGTTTTCCTGTTTGCTATTTGCAAAAATTACCTGTTACCATAATTAAGGAATTTTTGTATTAGATCGAGCCTGAAGCACTAGACTGAATATAGCGAGTCTGATCGTCTACACATTATTTTCTATCTCTAATTAAACCCCCACAATCCATCCCATTACAAGCTTTATTTTGCTATGCCACTATACATAACCCACAAATTGGGGATTGACAATATCTCAATAATTTGTAACATAAACAACTCATCATAATTTTCTTGTGTGACGATTTTTTTTATTGTGCTTGCACATTGATCACCACATAAAATACTTTTTAATTCTCTCAGAATTAATTAGATAGAACACGATTATATTTTACATAGGTAAATAAATTTCGGAATATTACGGTTATTTCATTTTTAAGCCAATCATAAATTGCATTTAGTTTTCCATCGATTTTACGGAAATGATGGTTTAGTTAAATATTCGTATAAATTAAGTGAAGTCTGGAAACGAAATGCGATATATTCCAGCAAAGTAGCAGCAACTCGTTTGGAGCGAACAAGTTTTCCTGGAAATGTTTTCCTTTTTGATTTAGTTTACTTATTTTATCTAGGACGCGCCTCGTGCATTACCTTCCTATTTTATTATGTTGTCAGGTCATACATTAAAGGATATTTGTAAATAAGTCGACCGAGATGTCAGAAATATACACGAGAGTTATTTATGAAATTCTAGTAATATATAAAACGTTTTAAGATAAACATATCTATTTGTATATATTAGCAATGTTTAATAATGCGGAAAATATACAATAAATTTATTGCTTGAAATACATTTGACACATTTATATATCTTAATAAAAATATATAAATGTGGGTTTCATAAGGATTAATTTAAATGGTATGCTTAAAACCGTATGTGCGACTTGTATGTGTTCTAAAAAATCATTATATCAGATATCATAATTGAGATTTTCATAACTTTTATTTGGCCAAAAGTACTGCACATTTTATAAATAGATTTATAGATTCATGGTATTTTAAATATATTTATATAAATATATAATTTTTCCCTAAATATATTTTTTATTTATACATTGTTAAACTATCCTGAGGTCAAATTTTCTTGATATTTTAATCTATCTCAATATTATATTACTGCATATTATTCAAATTTTTAATTAGAAAATATCTAATTAAAACTCTAGTATAATATAAGTATTGTACTTTTCTCAACTGATTATTACATGATATATACAGGACGATTCAAAATTATTTTATGCGTTTTCTTAACTTTTTCTTAATAATATATGATAATGACAATGATAATTTCTTATGAAATTTATAAATTAGCGCTGTTATCTATGCTTATGAAAGTATCCAACGAATTCATAAGAAAACATAACGTCGCACCGCGCCGGTCGTATCGCCCGCGTCGCGCGCCTTCGTCGCTCACGCTTCGTTCTACGTGGTCGACAAAAGTGAGCGAGCGACGCGTGCGACAACAGAGGGCGATGAGCTCTTCTGGCGCGACTAATTTCAATAGCCTTCGATGCCGCTTCAGTCGCGCGACTCTCCTAACTAGGACAGCTTAGTAAGAACACGTTGTTTGATATTTATCACAGCGAGCGCGCTTTTGTCTCCCACGTAGGACGAAGCGCAAGTGGTGTCCAATATAGGTTTTAACATAGTGCAACAGAAACGTTTGTCAACAACGTTTGACAAACTTGCCAGTGCGTGCAACTTCGTGGTTATAAATAGTCTTTATATAACTTCTTTGCGGAGGGGGTTAATCTTTTTTTGGTATAATATAACAACAAAAGATTAACACCTTCCGCATAGAAGTTGAAACCAATGCAATCAAAACTCTTCCGCGTAACTTTGTAGATATAGGTAGGTATATTTAATTATAATCGCCATATTTCTAATTATTTCGGACATAGGCCGAATTCGGCATCTGCCTCCAACATGTATAATAATATAGTTTACAAACTTTTATTTTAGTATAATAGGTGCCTGGTGGCCTAGAGATACCTACAGCTCTCGTCTGCCAGTCCAAAGGTTGTGGTTTCGAATCCCACAGCCGGCATTTTATCCGCTGACTATTTTTAATAAAAACAAAAATAGTTTGGTCGACTCAGCCTTAAATGAGTACTTGGGATTCACAATCCTGAGGTAATAATGAAGCGTAATGCTAGCCACAATACCTTCCATGTATACCGAACGACTCTAGCATGACAAGCTGTACATTGCCTACTCCCAAGGCGTTAAACGCTATATACGGGAGTTATTATTATTATTAACTTTTATTTTCTTCTCTTTCGCCTCTTCGCGTATTATTATTATTATTAGTATCCCATATTACACATTATGATTACAATTTTATGGTCCAAATGGGGAGGGTACATGTTCAAAGAGCCAGAGATAAAAATATTAACTTAATTGTTTTCATGTGCTTTTGATTCCTTAACGCCCCTCGCACACTACGTTTTTTATCCATTCGTATCGCAACGATTCGAACGTCGTGTAAAAATCACCATAAAAATGTCTGTTAGCAATTGATATTTTGTTGGGATCGACGGCTCGTAGGTTAACGGCGTGGCGTACAAAATATATAAATAAACACTAAAATTGGCTAAATAAAATACCATTGAAATTCAATAAAATAGTGATAATCGTGATATTATCGCCAAACGCTCTTGTGCGTTTTCACTCTTAATAAATTCGATTACCGTTGTGGAAGGAGACAGAGTGTTCTAAGCGTCGGTTTTGATAGTTTTCATAGAGAAATAAATCGGACATAAATTAATTCGACATTACTTTTACCGAGTAGAGCAATATGACAGAAACTGGAAGGATTGAACCATTATCTCTGTTCATATTATCTTTACATTAATTTATTTTGACACTCTCATATGCATTTAAATGATAATATTGATAAATTATTATTAATATTGTTGCGGACCGGTGTGAACTCGACCTAACCTAACTATATGGCCCGCCCTCGGATGACCTTAACATCGCATTAAAGAATAGACACCGTAATGATTCATCGAAGATTCGAGAAGAATCGAGTTCCACTAGAATGGAGTAGTACATACGAGAACAATCGAAACCTTCTCTATGCACCTAACGATCTATGGACTATTCTAGAGATCTTTAGCTGTCGGTATAAAAGCCGGCGGCTGTGGCCTACAGAGGGCAGTTATAAATCGACGAGTGCAGTTGACGCGCTAAAATTCAAAATAAATTCTTAGTTATAAATCGTTTGTAAATAGTTCTATAAGTTTTTTACCGTTATTGTTTTTGTTAATTAGTGTTAAATAAATAGTGTTTAAATAAATTGTGACTTTCTATCCACACGGAACCGACGAAAAACGTAACAATATCTATACAATAACTTATATCAAAAATATGTTGAGCAACGCAAGATTTAATTTGTTGTCAGAGGGGGTTGGAAAATATCCTGTTCCCCTTATAACAGGAAGATCCCCATGCATGATGAGTTATAGACTGTATGATGAGGTATAGCTCAAGAAAGGGGGACACAATACATCCTTAAGGTCGCGGTGATTATACCCCCTTCCACTTATTGTACATCTTTTACAACGCAAGATTTATCCTTATCTTATCTGAGCCTTATGTACTTTAAAATATTTAATATTGATCTTCTAATTTGTTGAATATATTTTTGATTACAATCTTTATATGAAACTTATTAATACCCGACTTTTCCAATGAAGGTGTTTTATGTTTACTTTTGAATTACCTAATAGTTGTTGTAATTTATTATTAGCGCGATACAAAAGTTTATAATTGAGTCTTAAAAATATATCTCGTGATTTAAATACCTACTGCTAATGTAAATACTGACTACTATACACTACTAATTTAAATACTACTCTCTATCAAACGGTATTAAAATATAGTTTGACGTATGTCTCCACT